TGTTCTGGAATACTCTTCGTAGCACCCACTCGCCTTCCTTGAAGGTTCTGGTCCTTACTTGCCGGTTGAAATGTTGGGCAATTTTTTGTTGATATGCTGCTGTACGAACTAATGCTTTTTCTCTTTGTTCATCTGCCAGATCTAACTCGTGACATAGTTCAACTTGGTTTTGCTCATCTGTTGTCCATTCACACCGAAATGTTGGAGTGCCTGTTTCTATTGGTATGACCGTTTCCATGCCGTAACCAATGAGAAGGGAGTTTCGCCGGTTGATGTCTGAGCGGTGGTGCAATAGGACCAAAGGACTCCAGGCAATTCGTCTGTCCATTTTCCTTCAGCTTCTGATAGTCTTTTCTTTAACGTTTTCATGATAGTCTTGTTGGAAGATTAGGCTTGACCGTTGGCTTGAGGATACCGCGGAGTGGAGAAGTTCAGTTTTATATTCCACTCTTTGCAGAAATTTCGAAACCCCGTACTTATGAATTGTGACCCATTGTCGGTGACTATTTCTTTTGGAACCCCGAACCTACACATCACATTTTTTCTAGACAAATTGGATAACTTCACGATCACGTACCTGTGGGAGTGCCTCGGCTTCAATCCACTTCGTGAAATAGTTTGTGATTGCTAGCATGTAGACACGTTGTCCTGGAGCAGTTGGGAGTTTCCCGACAATGTCCATTCCCCATTTCATGAAAGGCCAAGGTGAAAGAATGAGGTTGAGCTGTTCGGGAGGGACATGCGAGACATTGGCGAATCGCTGACATCGGTTACATTTCTTGACATGATTAAAAGAGTTGGCCCTCATTGTTGGCCAAGAGTCGGCTCTTGAGTGATTGCCACATTTCCCTTCATGAAGTTCGGGAAGGACATATTTGACTTCAGCGCTGTCGATGCATCGGAGATAGGGTCCAGAGAATGATCTTTTATACAACTTACCATCTATAATACAAAATCTGGTAGCCTTTACCTTGGTTCGTTGAGCTTCATTCTTATCCGGTGGCAATTCGTCATTTTGGAGATATCTAACAATCGGCGTCATCCAAGATTGCTCTTCCATCAAACGAAAACAATTGGTTTCGACCGACTTTCGAATCGTTGGCCATTGTAAGTATGCCACTAGGATGACCTTGCTTTGCTTCTTATTCATAGCTACTCCTAGGCCGGCCAGTGCATGCTTGGACATTTTCGGTCCGTGGAACTTGAGTGATTTGGAACTCATCAAACTTGCCTCATAGTTGTTTGACTAATTCTAGGTAAGATGCCATCTTTGAATCTTTGGCTAGAAAGGTGCCTTGGATCTGGTTTACAATGAGTTGAGAATCGCTGCGAACATTTATTCGAGTAACTCCTATATCCTTTGCCAAGATCAGCCCAACAATGAGTACTTCGTATTTTGCCTCATTGTTTATTGCCTTAAATTCACACCTAACTGTCTGTTCTATTTGCTATCCTTCTGGTGATGTTAGAATGATGCCGAAGCCTGCACCATTGATGTTACTTGACCCATCTACCTGGAGCATCCATGTGCCTATCATTGGTCTGTCCATGAAGCAAAAAAGCTCTTTTTGGGCTAGGACCTGAGAATTAGGAGTGAAATCAACGATAAAATCTGCAAGTACCTGAGATTTGATGGTGGTACGGGGTGCAAAGGAGATATCATATTCACTTAATTCGACGACCCATTTGGTTAGTCATCCGGATAACTCTGGTTTGTGGAATATCTGTTTCAACGGGAAGGATGTTACGACAACTATTGAATCACTTTGGAAGTAAGGTCTTAGTTTTCGAGCTGCGCTAACAAGTGACAGAGCTAGTTTTTCCAGTTGGGAATAGCGGGTCTTTACATCCAGTAACGTCTTACTGACATAGTAAATAGGGAGTTTCTTCCCTTCTTCTTCACGAACCAAAACTGCACGACAGCCGTCTCCGATATTGCCAAGTACATGTAGAGTTGTTCCCCATCTTTTGGTTTTGACAGGAGTGGGGGTGAAGTCAAGTATTGTTTGAGTTTTTATCGATTGAATTCAAAATTACGATCTTGAAAAATTTGATGATTATTTTTAACCGTATTTGAAGAGAAAACAATGTTGAGGATATTACACCGATAATGTACATATTATATTCCAAAAAATATACTGTTTATGTGTGAAATCGAAACATAATTCAACTTACCAAAATAATTGAAAAGACAACTTAATGATTTACCGAATCCGAATACATGAATATGGACTCGTGACTTTCCANCGAAATTGATTTTGAGATTTCAAATATACCACGATGATCTACTCGACGAGTAGAACAAGTTGGTCTATTTATATTTTTAATTTTACTATCGGATCAAGTCCGAATATTTGGACGAAGTTGATACGAAAGTCATTTTTCCAAATTTTTGGTTTTAACACTTGGGTAATTATATTACTACTACAAATTTTATTAAGTACACCACAATTTTTTTATTTACTAAAATATCCTTAAGTAAAATGACATAATTAGGGTTTCAATAGACTTTTTAATTAAATAAATTATAGTTACACCACAAATATAAAACCTAATTTCTTTCTTTCTTTTTTCCTCAACATCTCATTGCTCATAGTTTTCCGACGGCTTTTACCTTCTTCCACGGCAGCAAGATAATTTTCTTTTCCTCACAGTAAATTAATTTATACTCTATTTGACTACGATTTATAGATGAAATTTTTCAATTTATTTGTCAAGTTTGAAAATTAAGAATTTATCACCATGATTATTTAATTGTATTCGAAGGTTGTCTTTCTGTAGTCATGATTTTGACACATGAGTTATCATTTTTCTTGGTACATTCGATAACAATTCTCTCTTCAATCCGTGCTCAGTTGGGTTCAGAAAGTTGTTTACTAGTCCAAACTCGAACCCACGTTTAGTACACATAACTTAGAGAAAATGTTGAGAAAGTGAGGATTAATATTGGTGATAAGTACACCACAATATTCTATTATGTTTTTTTTTCATTTTTTTGTTTTTACTGAATTAGGAGTATAATTGTAAATTTATCGTTGTGTATTTATTAAAAATGTATTTTAATTGTGGTGTGATTATAATGTGGTGTAGTAATTAAAATTTGTAGTGGTAATATAATTACCCTTAACCAAATTTTCAATTTTCTAAACCAATTTCCAACAAACAGGATTACGTATAGATGAAAGTAAACTTGTATTTAATTAGAAAATACTTGTAACATTTCAAATGCAAGCCAAGTTAGACTTGACACGTTTAGTCGATTTTTCCCCATTGTCTAAGGAAAATTTGTTCGTGATGGACACATTTACAACATCAATTAATTTATTAATAGTAATTTTATAATTAGTGCCAGATGAAAAGGACACGTAAATTTTTAATTCATTTACACTTTGAATCAAAATAAAAATGGCCCCTATTGGCCTTTAGCAATGTTGATGAAACAATTTAATTGGTACGTCAGTTGACGAGATTGTTATACTATTTTTTTCATATTAAAAATCAGATTAATTCATAAGTTTAGCACTAGTTTAAAATAAATTTTATGTTAGACAACTAAGTCAAATTAAAATAAAATAAGAGAAGCAAGTTTTTAAACACGGCGACTCTTCGTCTTCTCTACTCACATTGCACATTAACTCTGAGTTTAGATTTATTGTTTCATTTAACTATTTTACTGGAGATTCCTTTACTAGGTGTTTGGTTCAAAGAGTTATGTTATTTATCAGTGACAAAAATCAATCATCTATGTGGCAATGATGACCGTCATATTGTCTTCTACATCGCCGGATCATTAAGTTCAACCTCATCCTCAACTGTGGGGCCTTGCAATCAAGCTCCATTGTATCTTTGCAATCGAGATCTCTGTCTGGTCCAGAGAAATCTTTGCACGCTTCAATGAAATTATGATGCATTTTAATTTATTAGATAATGTAGTAATGATCTTGTTGTCGTATAAATGACATAATATCACCAGATTGATAAATAAGATTACTCTTGTTTAAATATAAAGCCACTTAAAGTTTACTAATTAAAATCTTTTATTAAAGAAGGGCTAATGTATCAAACATCCATGTTTGATACTCATTCTTTTAAAATACATTATTTTAAAACTTATTTTCAACCATACATTTTTTAATAAAATAATATTTTCCATCACATTAATAATTTTTCCTCATTTTTTAACTATATATTTCCCATCATATCACTATTTAAAATATATTTTTTCATCAATAATATCCATCGAACGCACCCTTATAAGGAAATTGAGAAGGAAATAATTAAACACTCCTTAATTCTTTAAAGGTTTGTTTGAGTTTATTTTCTAGGTTAATAGATCTTGTAATAGTTTTTTTTTTTTTGAAAAATGTATAATTAAAAAGTATGAGAACGTATGCTTGAAAACGAGTTTGGAGAAAATGTTTTTAAAGTTCGGGGCAAAAAGGAAAAAACCCATGAGTATAGGAAATTCTTGATAGGATTCCTTTCGACGCTGAAGTGATGGCAGATGATTTGCTTGTTTTCTTTCTTCTCTTTCCATCTTCCAATCAATTCCTGTTGTCTGCGAAAATTTTTAGTCAAATTTTTCTATGCTTGTAGTGATTTCCGGGCAAAAATAAACATAAAATACCTCAAAATAAGATATGACCTTCACGCAGACACACAAAAGACGGTTAGACCCTATTTGGTTGGAACGAATTCCACGAAAAATGTCCTATTCAAGAAGAACTAATTTTACTTTGATCGTTTGATTGTAATATGAAAGTGAAAATCGAATTTTAAAGTACAACCATTTTAAGTTACATTTTCTTTATTTTAATGAAAGAAGAATTTTCATGAGTTTGATGGATATTTATTTTTCAATTAAGAAGGAATTGAAATTGTTTTACGACGTTTGCCTAACAAACGGAACATAGATATTTCTCTACCCGCATATACGCCTTTTCAGAAATTCAATACGGTAGAATCAATTTTATTAACAGAAGCTGTGCAGGTCAAAAGAAATGGGGAACACTTCATGCGTGTTTTGTGGGTGCGTTGATCAGGCTAGCGTAGGGGTGGTGGAGAAGTGGGGGCGGTTTCAGAGGCTGGCGGAGCCGGGGTTCCACTTTTTCAACCCGCTTGCCGGAGAATGCCTCGCTGGAATTCTCTCGACTAGGATCAATTCTCTCGATGTCAAAATTGAGACCAAAACCAAGGTTTTTTTTCGTTTTTCATTATTCTCTGTGTGTGTTTGTGGGTGTATGCGTAATTTTGTGTGTATAGGTGATTAGATTATAACAATCAAAACAAGGAGCTAAGTTTTATTCCTTGTAAGTATGATCTCAGGTGTATTTATATTTGGACTAAACGCTATAATCAAAATGATGCCTAGGATGCTATTATTCGGTAACTACTCATACGTGTTGTAATTTTTTGGATTTGGCATCAATTTTTGACGCTAAACTTAAATTTTGGTCTTGATTTTCTTTGTAGTGATGTGTTATTCATGTGCTGAGGCCTTATATTATTTTTTCTGAAATGGTTTGTTTTAAACTTGCGCAAAAAAGAACTCTTTAATGTTAGAGCATCTCTAATGCTTTCATGGATTGCAATCTATGTGACATCTAAATTGAAAGGCTTCCAATCTACATGGCAATTAATGTCTGTTGAATAAATGGCCTGGTTCAAACTCCATCTTTTATGGGTTCCATCTATAATTTAAATTTCATAACTAATGTATATTTAATAGGAGAGAGAAATTATAAGCATGATAGAGGAAAGAGAGAAATATTGAATTATGGCGACTCACTTCTTCTTGGAGAGCCTCTACATCTGGACTTTTTTTGGCAATGTCTACTTTTTCTCTGTTGTACATAGTTCATATTCTATTGCTGAGAACCTTGTAGACATTGTCTATTTTAGTTTATGTGGCAACCTTTTTAGTGCAATCCGAATAACATTGGGGATTCTCTTGTACCTAGTATTTTAGCCTAGTTCTTATCAACTCTTCCTTTTTTGTGAGGAAAAAATTATACTTTGAATTTGAGGCCATTAATTGTGTACAGTTGCACATTGCCCTTGATTTTGATCAGATTAAATTCTTTTATGGGCTGCTAGATTTTGTATAAAATATTAGTGTTGTAAGTATTCCAGAGCTGTTATCCACTATGAACATGTTTGACTAAGCCTAAAAACGTAGTGATGGATGATTCTAAAGAAGCCAGTTTTTGTTCTAAAGTTTAAAATAGAAGCAACTTTTAAAGAGATGCCAAACATGTTTCAGAAGTTAGAACAAATCAGTTTATCGGACTGATTTGGTTCTCTTTAGTCACAGTAAAATGAGTGCTTATTATAGTTAAAGCAGATAATCAAGAATTTGGCTCTATTTCGATTTTATATTTGGAAGGATGTATTTTGGTTTCAATAATGGAATGTAATGATTCAAATTTGAACAGAGTCATTTTTAAATCCAATTGGATGCTCAGATTCCAAGCCTTACAATGTTAATGAATAATTGTAACTTTATGTGGTTTACCTGCATCTTTATGCCTATTTATGTTAAGATATGCTTGTAGACTCACTGCTTATTTTATGCCACTATCAGTTTTACTTATCCTTTGAGAATTCAACTAATTTTACTATCCACATTAATAGCGTCAGTTTGAAACGTAGCCATAGAGTTGTTGGATGATGACTATATGCTGTTAGACTATATTTTTTTCCAACATATGTGGTCGAAAATAAAAATTGATAAGATGATGTAAGTCAGGGAGAGTATTGATGAGTTTCTCATTCTATAGGACAATGTCTTCGTTCAAATGCATTGCTCAATTCAATATCGAGTAATCAGGGGAAATGCTGATGATGCCTTTTATGAATTACAAAATCCCGAGGAGCAGATTCAGTCTTACGTATTTGATGGTAATTTGCATATTCGATGGAATATGTTGCATTCCGGGACAAGTTTCTATTTTCAGTCTTCGTTGTCATTTTGATGGTTGTGTTATTCCATTTTTCCTCTAATGTTGTATTTGCTTGTTTTCCAAGTTGTTCGAGCTCATGTTCCTAGAATGACTTTGGATGAGCTTTTTGAACAAAAAGGTGATGTTGCTAAAGCTGTCTTAGAGGAACTTGAGAAGGTAAGTTTATGCTGTTCAGATGGATATAAAATAGTTTCTGTCCACAAATTATTTGTCGAAAGTAATTTGTATTGTCTTATTTGTGGTGTTAATTGCCAATACTGCAGGTATAAGAGAGGCTTTTTTGTCTTAGCATCACCAATAGAAACTCTTAGAAGTAGGTCTTGACTTGTGTTCCTTAATATAATGATTATGTATTGCTTATATCATATCGATTAACATTGAAACTAGGATTTTATGTATTGCTTATATCATATCGATTAACATTGAAACGAGGAAGATGCTAAACAAATAGATGACCCATGATGACATCTAATGCCTCGCTTTCTCTATAATGGAAAAAGAAGAAACAGAAAAATATAATGGCCTCCTTTTGAAGTCCAATTTTCAATAAGCTCTTTGCTGGTTAAAGCACCAGAGTGAATTAAGGTTTCCTGCAGTAGAAGTTCATGGTAAGAATTTTTTCATTGGAGAAGATCTGTATAAGTGTTATGGTATCAGCATACAGAAGGGAGAAAGAGCAAGCGTTGGACAAACTAACATTGTTCCATTCACTTAGTAGTTTAGATCACAGATTGGTAAGGATCCCTGCAATCCACGATCCACTAGTTTCAAGTTTTAATTTTGTAAATTTAACCTTGTTTGCATCCTTCTGGTCTTTTTCTTCTCTTGATTTCAGATTGGTAAGGATCACTGCAATCCATGATTCACTAGTTTCAAGTTTTCATTTTGTACATTTAACCTTGTTTGCATCCTTCTGGTCTTTTTCTTCTCTTGATTTCACTCTATATTAAAATACCACGCGTGGAATTGATTTCAAGTTCTAACCTCACACACTATTTTTCAACCAGTAGACGAAAAATATGATCATCGGCATGGTCAAGAATTCTATTTTCATGCATGTTGAAATATGAACTGCTAAGCTTTGTAGTTTATAATTGAAATGAAGGGGAAGAAAAATCTGTAGATAATAAGACGACTCTTCTTCCCAGAAAAGAAGAATATGTCACTGCCTGTTGCATATTTGTGATCAGTGTGTGGATATCGGCCTTATTTTCAATGGTGTTGATATGCATCTTGTCATTTATCTTGTATCTTCAGATGGCTGAGCTAAATAGTTCTGTTTGAAAACCATTTTAAGTTGACTTCATGTGTCAGGTGATGGGAGAATATGGATATAACATAGAGCACATATTGATGGTCGACATCATTCCTGACCCCTCTGTACGCAGAGCAATGAATGAGATAAATGCAGGTTAGGACCGTAGCAATTTTTATTTATTTTTATGTATTATTTTCTCTTTCTGGTTAGAATGTGATCATAATATGTCTAGAGCCATGACTATGGCAGGTTGAGTGCTAAAGTGTTGCACGATTGTATTTCTGACTTTCTGTTGTTATATCATGTGCTCCTTGCTCATTCTTTTTATGGACTTTTGGACAGTGTTTCTTAGTATATATTATAGGCCCACTATAGGTTTTGTATATATGTGCACTTGGAGGGTATTAGTATTTCAGTATATATCTATAGTGTATCTAACCATGTAGGTGCACGGAAATGTAAGGTTGCTTGAATTGCTCCCTTAAAGCCATATATATGTATAGGTTGTTCCTGTCTGGTACTTGAGCAGTTTGAGAATATGTAATTTATGATAGCACAAAAAGGACTTTTAGGCTTAGAATAGGAAAGGATTATGAATTAGAAATATGCGGGGGTGTCCTCAAGATTTTCATGGATTTCAAAAGTTAGTAAATTTTAATGAATTTCGTGAATTTGAATAGATTTTTACAAAATCTATAAGAATCTCGTTCAAAATGGTGAAATTTCAAAAAAGTTTGTTATGTATTTTTAAATGTGAAATCTATCCAAGTCTTTTGAAATCCCTTCATTAATGAGATTTTAAAAATCCACAAGTTATTGAGGATACTTAGATTTTAAAGGATTTATTTGAAATCCATTAAAATTTTAGTTGGGGACGCCCTAGATTTTAATGTATTTTAATAAAATTCATTAAAATCTCAATTGGGGCACTTGAGTTTATAATGACTTTTAAAATTCCTTAAAATCTTTGTTGATGACACCCTCGTTGGAATGGTAGCAACAATTTGCATTTGCAAGTTTGATGTTTCTCCATCCTTGGACTTAATAGTCAACTGGTGAAAGTGAAGGTGATCAAGCGAATCGTCGTTAGGAGTTATCTTTTTAAAATTATTATGAGGTGATTCAATTTTCTGACTAGTATGATAATGGTGATAATTCTTGGACAATGATGGTTATTTGAAGGGTTCTGTCTATAATTTGTGATTTTAGTTTATCCCGTTAATATTGCAGCATTTTGATTTTATTTATTTTTGCAGTTCCTCCCTACATCATCTGTTTTTTTAAAGCATGATACCTCCAGAGAGAGATTTTTCAGTTTTCCTTGCTTCTTTTCCATGTCTCAAACTTGACATCATCTGATATTGTTTCTAACCCAAATAATTGGTGCCTTTTTGCCCCTGCATGATAGCTCAAAGGATGCAGCTTGCTAGTGGATACAAGGGAGAAGCAGAGAAGATTCTCCAGGTCAAGAAAGCAGAAGCTGATGCTGAAGCCAAATATCTTGGTGGAGTCGGGGTCGCTAGACAGCGTCAAGCAATTACCGATGGCTTGAGAGAGAACATCTTGAACTTCTCCCACAAGGTTGAAGGCACCTCGGCTAAGGAGGTGATGGATCTTATCATGATCACCCAGTATTTTGACACAATCAAAGATCTTGGAAATAGTTCCAAGAACACAACAGTTTTCATACCCCATGGTCCAGGTCATGTCCGGGATATTGGTGAGCAGATACGCAATGGACTGATGGAGGCTTCAGCTGCACAGGTCAATGTTGAATAATTTTGCTTGTTTTATCAAATATATTTTACACGTACATCTCAATAACTGAATATGAACACGTTTTTGTGTTTTTTGGAGTTTCAACATAGAATTTATGGGTGGAATGATCATAGGCAATATTAAAGTGTGCTATATTGTTAAATTCTTTTGTTTTTGATGGATTCCTGCTAGGGCTAGACATGGTCCGAGTGGAACTGTTGGATCCAAATTTAATTATGGAATCGTTCGGGTTCGATTCCATTCGGTTTGGTTCGGTTTCAAAGTTCTGTACGATAATACATTTTTTTATTTTATTTACAATAACGCTACATTAATCATGTTAAATATTAGCTTTTGCAAAATAATATAGTCCAATATCGTGATATTTTTTGCGTTTCTCTTTGTTGAGTTCATAAATTTGACCGTTAAAATCATAGGAAGAGGAAGATAACTTACTCACAATAATAGAACGGCAAAAAAGACACCACGGTAGAATAAGAGATTTGTATAAATGTCAACTTGATTAAGTTGGGCTTGACTGGAAATTAGAAATAATAAAATCGTATTTTGGGTATGACCTAAATTAATTAGTTAGCAAATTTATGAAGAAAAAAAAATAATTTGACTTATTTAAAATAAAAAAATTAGGGAAATTCGATTCTTCATCTAGTACTGAGAATCGAACAAAATTCGTTGGTTTTCGATTCAGAAATCCGTTTGGTATTCAACTTAAGAAGAACCGCTCGATGTTCGGTTCGAGTCCACTTTGATCTGGTTTAGTTTGGGAGTTTTGTCCAACCCTAATTTCCGCTTTGTGTCTAGCTGAAATATGATTTCTGATTTGTATTTCCGGTGACGAATGAGTTCAACATACTGAATTCTATGATATAAGTTACTGCAAATACATTGGAACACACTGCGGCATTCGTGTTGAAACCAAGTGCAAATGAGCAGTGGGATCAGGTTGAGAAGTTGAAACCATAGACTGCATGCATATTTGATACATTGTGGAACATAATTTTAGCTTATTTTTACTTTTTTTGTACAGTCCACTCTGTTGAATAAACCAAAATGGTTGGATTCTTGAATGGATGTACTGTCGGAATTTAAAGGGGAATGAGGCCACTTATTTCAATCCATCTTCATCTTTAGTTGAGACAGAAGACTTCAGTCTTCAGATAAAAAAACCATATACAATATTTTTTTTCTTTTTCACCCAATGGCCCAATTTTAACAATATACTTTTGGGTTTTAATTTATTTGAAAAAAAAAAAATGAAATATTTTTTTATAAATTGAGGTCTAAATGTCAAATTTTGATATTTGGGATAAATATATGGGGAATTCATTCGTTTTAATTCACACACCATCAAGTATAGTGTTTCGATTGCTATTAAATTGAAGCTCGGTGTTTTAATTGCACTCTTAATTGACCTTCACTACAACTTACGTTGGTTGATGTCGTACAAAATGAGTGCTCTCGTTATATTAAAATTAAGTGGTCCTATTGCTATAAATATTAATTTTCATAGTTTTCTCCTATTATAAATTAAAGTGGATCTTTGATCGACTTTCAAGTCAAGAAGATCTATTTTTGGGTTGCTTTGGCGTCAAGTAGTGGTGTAGAGTGAGTGAGACTGGTTGATTTATTATTCTATTTGACAACTTTTTTTTTCAAAGTAGTAGCCTAGGACCAATAGGAAAACTGAAGTAATATCCGACTTTTTGATATTTTAAATTATATTTTTAGTAAATTTTGATGAAATTTGTACTTGAAAAGTTGTTGATTCCATAATATATGATTAAAAAATTAAAAAGTTGTGGGTTTCATGATATATGATTAAAATTAATTGTTTATTTTGACTTAAATTAAATTTTAGATTTTGATCTGTAGATATTATATAAATTTAACGACTTTCCAATTTATCATCTTCTCAAAAATAAATAAATAAATAAATAAATTCTAATTTCTTTTTTTGGTAATCAAATGATTATTGCCACTATCTTTCTCATAATTGTTTTTACTTTTTTTTGCACAAAATTTTCCATTTTCATGTGGTACCCTTGTTATTATGTCCCCAAGGAATCTCCCTATCATCATTGTTTTATGGATATTATAAGTAAGAGATTAAGCATTTTTTAAAATAAATTCTATTATTCAATAATATGAAAAGTATATTTTTACCGCCCGTCAAAAGATAGAACTAAAGAATATTAACATGTTATACTCGTGACGAAATTATGTATTAGCAATCAATCTAGCGAACTCTTTCATTTTTTTTTTTTAAATCTAAGTACCAACTTTTACCTCTTTTCCACTAAAACTGATTTTTTAACTTTTCTAAATAATCTTTGAGAACTCCATTTTAGAATGTGTGACTATAGAATATAAAGTTTAAATAAAATAATTTTAGTTTGTGGAGGCTATATTCAATATTTAAATAAGTAAATGTCTTCATTCAATCTCTATAATCTAATTTAATAGGAAGTTAAATAATTTGAAAAAATTGGAGATATAAATGTAATAATGAATAAAGATTATAAAACTTTCATTCAATTAAAATGTGGTGTTTTTAAAAACTCGATGTGCATATATTTAATCAATAATAAAAATCCTACAAGATTGCACTTAAATTTTCTTAATTCGAGTAAGTATCCAAGTGTCTCGAGAGAATTCTCCACATCTTTTACATGTCGCTCAAACATCCACACAGTTCTTCTTTACCCATCAACAAAGACACTAAATTTTTACAGGTAAAAAGCAAAATCAAGCTGCAGTAACTCTATATCTAAATCCATTTTGGAGGATTTCAAATTCAAAAACAATCAATATTTATTATTTAAGTGGGGCTAAAAGGCATGAAAAAAGAGAGTGTAATAATGAAGTAACATTGAAAGAATTGATATTCTGATATAAAGGGGGTACTGCCCTCTACTATACTAATCATTGTATCCCCCTCACCTTTTAACTAAAACACGAGCAAACTAACAATGGAGCCATGCCATACTCATAAAACCCCTTTTTTCCTTGAGTTTGGTGAGCAGTCAGTAGTAATCTCACTTGCCAACAGGACAATCTCTATACCAACAAACTGTGTACCTAAGTCAAAAACCAGAGGTAATTTAGCAAGCATTAAGAGGTAGAATTAGAAAAGTATCATTGAGTATTACATATAAATTATAATCATCTAACTCAACTCGTCCATGGACCCGTAAAAATATTTTAACTAAATGTATAGTATTCATGTTATAAGATTTGACAAAGTTAAATACTAGCTATACAGCCTATACTTGCTCAATTTGGCTGTTAAACACAGAGACTTCAACATAGACTGTAAAGCTGTCGGTTGCCACAAGCCCACAAACCTCTTCCTTTCCTAGGTTTTAGTTGGGCTATGAAAAACATTGGAGTCAACACTGGCTTTCAAGCTTATCCTTTTTTCGTTTAGGTTTGGCAAGCATCAAAAAACAGAATTACAAAGTCTTTCGAGTATTATGCATAATCATCTACATTGACTACTGATGTGCAAAACAGATTACAACAACAGTGTATATTAGGATTCATGTTACAAGATCTTGACAAAGTTTTGTGCTAGCTGTCGGCAAACTGCAACCCTCCATTGCCCGAGCTTTGGACCATGAGAAAAATAGGACTTGCAAAAGAGATTATAGGAAAGAAACAACATTCCCCTTTATTCGTTTTTGACATCATTTTCTCACATAAATGTTAAAGAAATGTTTTAAAGTTTAAACTAACCTATAGGGGCTCTATGATGGGAAGTGCATAAATCTACAGGAGAGGCAATCAAAGCCTCGGTAAAAGAATAATTTAATACCAAAAGAAGAAGAACTACTTTACAACTATAATTGAGGGATGGGATAATGACTAATTGATAGGATCCCATATGCAGTGTCCCCATATACTTTGCATACCCCATCAATCTCTAACCTTTGCTACCATCCTTTGTACCATTTATCATAAAGTCTTTAATGGATAATCATGCACATCTTTAGTTGACACACAACTTTTTTACTTGGCCAGTACCAATAAATACCTGTACAAATCAAGTATATATTTATGTGTGTCCTAGCACATCAAATATGGCTAAAAGTTTTAATAATTCTCATCCTTTGCTTATGTTGTGTACAATTCAAAATCTTTGCAAGGAAGAAAAGGATTCTATGTGCATGTTTGCCTCAGCTTAAAAAAATTTAACTGTAAGTTACTAAGGTAGTTTTGTGCTTGTCAAAGTTGGAAAAAGTCTTAGTTTGAAACCAATGTGGAAACAAAAGCTTAGCCAAGCATGCTCTTTGTCCCAATTTTTCCACACAATCCATTTCAAGCTTAAAACCAAGCATGACTTAAAATGGTGAGATGATATTTGGAAAGTTTAGCTAGGTAAAGGGCAGAAGTTAGGAAAAAGTTATGTTACTAGAGTAGGAGCGTACCAGTATACGACACGTGTAAAGCAAGAAATGGAGAAAGTAACAGCTCCGCCACCAGGAATATCAACCTGTGGGATTATGTTAAAAAATATATGCCACTGCTTAGAACCTATAAATCAGTTTAAGTAGTTGCAATATCAATTTCAGCTCCTGAAATGCATTTCATGATACCAACAGCCTCCTTGCTTGCAGGTTGCTCAAAATACCTTTCAACAATTATAGCAGAGTAACTAATCACAGTGCAANGAGAGAGAGAGAGAGAGAGAGAGAGAGAGAGAGAGAGAGAGAGAGAACTACACTTCAGCCCTCTTTTCCGTTTGACCATGACAGTTGACAATAAAGTTCTCTGATGGATTTCCACTCTCTGTGGTGGGTATCCTACTAGACAGCCACTCTTGGGATGTAGATGGGAGTAAATAGTGCTTCTTCAGCAACAAAGATCTGTTTCTTGATTGTTCCAAGGACCGAGTCTGGTTTGCCACCCACCCAACAAATTCGGGAAAAAATAACGCTAGAAAATGGAAACAAAGGCAAACTAGCGTTCATATAATGTTCCTTGGAATCCCTTTTCTCGTCTGAACTTAAAATAGTCTGTTATTCCACCCATGCTGTTATAAAAGTCACCGCAGTCTGGGAATACGCGTGGAATATCATTAGGCAATCAAACATGAACAAACGAACAGATAAGCTTATTAAAGTGTGATTAAGAAAATTCTGAAAAGGATAATGCTTAATTTGCCTTTCATTTTAATGCTGCAATGCACATAGATGTGGTGGATGAGGAAATATGACTTGAGTTAGAATTAAGTAATGCAACAAAAGAACATGAATTTGTTAATAAAGTTGCTAGAAAAGTACAAAAAATTCTATGCAGCATTGAGCTTCTTGATATTGCCACCAACAGCAGAATGAAAAAATAAGCAATATGCATGACGAGTTTGTGCGAGGAGTTATTAGAATTGAAAATTTAAAGAGTTCATGCCCATCTATCATGCAATTTATAAGGATATCTTTTTCTCTCAATAATTAAACCTCAAATAGTTTCAACTTCCTCAAAGAAACCTCAATTTATTAGTTAAATAGCCATATGATATATAACCTGAGCATAAGAAGCAATTCTACTCAGAAGAATGGATAAGTGGGATTCTGATTAACCTAAATGACGCAAGTTTTTAAGATCCACTAAGAATTCAAATACATCTTATAATGGATAGAAAATGGATAACTAAGTATAAAATATTTGGAGAAAAATTTAACTGGATAGCACATAGTTTCTCAAAAAAATTGATAACATTTCACTTTCAATAATGACATAGCAGGAAATTTGAACAGTTGAGTTTGGAACATATTATGTCTACTTGACAGGAAGTCAGGAACAAATAATTATGTTTCTGGGAGAATACGGCAATCTTAACAGAATATACACTGCATCTCAGTTATGAAAGTTTTTGAGAGAACAATGTGAAGTCCTGGTAGACCAAAATCAAAGCACCATTTGGATACTTTCATGAATTATAATTACCATAGTGCACTCCAACAACCAACATGAGATACAGTCTTGAACCTACAATTAGCAAATGGTGGCAATTTGTTATTAATATAAGAACATAATGAAATTTCATAAGAAGGATCACGAGACCTA